TTGACAAAAGCCTGCATTAGAACGGCTTTTTACCTAGGAGTTGTCGGTAAAGCTGGGAGGCAGCCCTTCGATAGCTCTTCTCCAGTGGCCACCATGGCAGGGTATCTCAGTCTACTAATTAGGCTGCGATGGCACCTCACTGGCAGCACGAGTGGCATCTGCCTGTCCCACTGAGCAGCCTAGCCTGGTGACCAGGAGGGGTCATTCAGCCTTCACTACGAGGGAGTTCCCTGTGGTTAGATAAACTGATCTGTTGCTTGGTAACTGTGCTGGATGCTCAGGAAGCCCATTTAAGAGGGGCTTGGGCAGTTGGGCTAAGAGGGCAAGAGAGTCGGCAAGTTCCTGGAAGAACTGCAGCTCGGCCGAAGAGAGGACCCAGCGCCCGGCCAGGCCTGGGTTTAGAACCAGCGCATCTTCCCATCTGTACTGTGCCTTCTTGGCAGCAGATCTCAAGACAAAGGGAAAATAGGTGCTGGCCAAGGGAACAGTGGGTGTGTGGGGGGGCTGTTTTGACAGCAAGAGAAACCCATGCAGGTTGGCCCCGAGGTGCCACCACCTTAGTAGGAGGCTTGAGTCTAGACAGTACGAGCACCCCTGCTCCCTGGGCACCGAGGGCCTGCATTGGTGGGCAGCTGGAGGTGTCTTCCTACATCGAGAGGATGTTGCCTAGAATGCGTCGCAGTGGCGGGGCAGTGTCTCCAGGCCCGGGCTGCAACTTGCGTGCACAGGTGCGGGCTTGTGTGCTGTCACGCCTGCTGCCCAGTGGGCTGCCAGTGTGTGGAACAGGGACGCAGGGGTGGCGCCGCGTGAACCTTCTTTGCCACGCCACATGTGAGGCAGCCCGGGGGCGGGAATCTTCACTGGCTTCAGCCCAGCGGTCCTTTACATATTGGAGCTCATGCCGGGGAGAATATTTGGACTAAAATTTTGCATATTTTTTAATAATTATTTATTTTATTTATTCATTCATTCATTTTTTTAAAAGAATTATTTTACTTAACTTTATTTATTATTATTTTCCAGTTTGATCAGAGAGAGACAGAGAGAGAGAGAGGAAGTGAGAAAGCAAGCCACCAGGTCCGAGACTTGAACCATGGTTGGCCATGTGGGAGTCCAGTGCCTTTAACCACCATGCCACTTGCCGGCCCCTCATTCATTTATTTTTTAATTTGACCAGAAAGAGACAGAGGGTGAGAGCGAGAGAGAGGGGAAGTGAGAAAGCAATCCACCAGATTAAGGACTCAAACCCTGGTCGGCCATGTGGGAGTGTCCAGCACCTTAATCACCATGCCACTTGCTGGTCTCCAAATTTTGCATATTTTGAAACTCCAGTGGTCACATTTAAAATCATACATCGTGGGACCAGCAGTTAGTGTAATGGCTATGTCGCTGAACTCCCATGTAGTCGACTGCAGTTCGCGTCCCAGACCCGGTGGCTTAAAACTCACACCGGGCGCGTGTGCGTGAGTGACCAAGATCCCAAGAGGAGAATGGAGGAGAAGGGATTGCGGCATGGCCATCCCCCGGGGGGTGATTTCTCGCTTTCTGTCTCTCTGTTTCTCTGTCTGTCTCGCGAGCGCACGTGCCCTAGAAAACCTCTCCCAAAAAAAAAAAAAAAATCATACATCGTGAGTGACCAGCCTCAGACCAGAGGGGGACAGCGCTCCGCCTGTAAACTTCGAGCGGGGAGCTGGCAGCCTTCAGTTTGGAGCCAGGCGAGTGCTCCCCACGGCCGGGCCGCACACCAGCTCACCCCCAGACCTCCAGCATACGGGCTCAGGATCGCCCCGAAGGACACAGTGCCTGCCAGCACAAGAGCCCTGGCTCTGCCGTCAAGAGCCCAACTCCGTTCTGACTCCTGCACAGCTTCTCTGGGCCTTAGGTTCCCCGCATGTGAGTGACCCGTGTCCACAGGCCAGAGCCCGGCCAGCCCTATAGTTTTGTTTCAGTTAGTGCCTATGGGGCCTGCATGCTTTTCGTTCTCAGTACCATCCCCATTTTTCAAATGAGGAAACCGAAGTGAGAGTCCGAGTCACTGAATCTGTGCTGTTGGGCCACTGAGCGGTCAGCTAGGTTCTGTCCCCTTGTGGCCCTCATGTACCAGGCATCTGCCCTCTCCCTCCCTCGCCCCAGGCCCCTCGGCCCCAGGCCCCTGGCCCGTCATTCCACTGAGCAACCACGAAGGACTCCCTGTGTCACATCGTGATCATCCTCCACTCTGGTCCTCTGGGCCCTCCTGTCACACCTCCTCTGTGACACGTTCTGGACTGGGGGGAAGGGCGGACATCTGCCGCGCTGTGCCCTGACTGGCTGCACGGCCTTGGCCAGTGCCTCACCCTCCTCGAGCCATAGTGTCCCTGTCCATAAAATGAGGATGGTGGGACCAGCAGATGGCCAATGCTTACATCACTGGATTCCCACGTAGTTGGCCGTGGTTCGAGTCCCGAACCCGGCAGCTTAAAACTCACACCAGGCGCAGGGACCAGCTGGTGGCATGATGGTTAAGGTACTGGACACTCACATGGCTGACCATGGTTCTGGTTCGAGTCCTGGACCTCGTGGCTTGCTTTCTCACTTTCCGTCCCTATCACTCTCTGTCTCTCTGTGGTCAAATTAAAATAAATGAATGAATAAAATAATTATTAAAAAATCACACCAGGCGCATGGACATGTGTGTCCAAAATCCCAAGAGGAAAGTGGAGGAGAAGGAATGGCAGCATGGCCATTCCTTCGGGGGGGTGATTTCTTGCTTTGTGTCTCTGTCTCTCCAGAGAATGCACAGCCCTATAGCAAAAATCTCTAAAAAGATGAGATGGGATGGTAACCTTACCCACCTGGTCGAGGGAGGATTATAGGAGAGAAGGTACGCGTAGCAGGTCATAAAGAGCCCAGAAAGTCCTTCCGTATATTTCATCTTGCTGAACCCCATCCTGGACTGACACACCCCTGTAAACTCCTGGCCCTTAAATATTGAGTCCTTGTTATTCTCTGACCTGAAATCTGCTTTCTTCTCCCAGCACTGGTTGATCCTGTTTCTTTCTGTGTGTTACAGTAGAGAACATTGTGGGGGCTGGCAGGTGGCGTGGTGGTGAAGACGCTGGACTCCCACATGGCCAGTCGTGGTCAAGTCCCACACCCGGCAGCTTGCTTTCTCACTTTACCTCTCTTTTTCTCTCACTCTGTCTCTCTGTGGTCCAATTTAAATAAATAAATAAATGAAATAAAGTTCAATGAAATCATCCTAAGAAGAGAAAACACTGTTGTATGACTAGCCCTGGCCTCTGGGGTGTGGTCATACTGATTCCGGTTACAGTATCCCTGCCCTAACCAGTAACCGTGGGGCTCCGTGAGCTCTCGGGCGAACAGTGCAGCCTGAGGCTTATCTCCTGCCCTTGGTGTGTACAGGCGCCCAATGGAGTTTGGCCACATTTCAGTCCAGAGTGTGGTGACTCCCGAAGGACAGTGCTGGAGGGCAGCGCCATCTTCAGTGCGCTCCGCAGTGGGACACGGCGTCACCTGAGACACGGCTGTTTGATGCAGAAGGACTTTCCAACAAGGTGGTTAGGTTTATTGGTTCTTGTTTTAGTTGTTGTTTTGGTTAAAATCCTGTCTTAAGAAACATTTTCTTGGGACCAGCAGTTGGCGTAATGGCTATGTCGCTGGACTCCCATGTAGATGACTGTGGTTCGAGTCCTGGACTCGGTGGCTTAAACTCATGCTGGGCGCGTGTGCGTGCGTGCCCAAGATCCTGAGAGGAGAATGGAGGAGAAGGGATTGCAGCGTGGCCATCCCCCCTGGGGGGTGGTTTCTTACTTTCTGTCTGCCTGTCTCTTCCTGGTGAGCGCACGTGCCCTATAGCAAAAACCTCTCAAAAAAAATTTGTTTTTATTTCACTCTTCAGTTTTTGTAATCATCATTCTTCTGTGTGATTGAACTTCTTTTTTGGGGGGAAGGGGAGAGGTTTTTGCTCTAAGACATGTGCACTGACCAGAAAGATAGAAACAGAGAGTCAGAAAATGAGAAACAACCCCCAAGGGGGATGGCCACGCCACAATCCCTTCTCCATTCTCACAGGATCTTGGGCACGCACGCACATGCACCAGGCAGGCGTGAGTTTAAGCCACCAGGTCTGGGACTCGAACTGCGGTCGACTACATGGGAGTCCAGCAACATAGTCATTACACCAACTGCTGGTCCTGTGTAATTGAACTTTTACAAATTTCTTCCTCTGATCTGATCAAATGGTGAGACTGCCGTCTTTTGAGAACGGTTCCCACAGTTCCGCATCTGAAGCTGATTTTGAGCCGTGGGCATTTTTTGTGTAGACGAGGACAGAGCACTCTCCCTCTGCCGTGGTCCTTGTGGGGCTTGGAGAGCTGCTGGTCTGAGCTCCGGGGCAGATATGTTACCAGCCTGCACTCTGGGCTTGGGGTTTGAGGGTCAGAAATGCCTTTCAGAGTCTTCAGTCAGTCAAGGAAAGTCGTGACTGGCAGCCACCCGGGCCTCGCGCAGCGGCAGGCTGCATGGACCTCGCTGGGCTCTGCTCCTGGGCTGAGTCCCAGCTGTCGGAGGAGGAGGAGGCCGGGTGCTTGAACTCATTGGGGTTCTGGGAAACTGCTGACGCGCTTTCTCCGCTGCGCCTTGCTGAGTTTTGAGGTGGGTTTTTTCCATCCTTTGGCAGACCGCTGTATCATACACCTCATTTGCCATCAGACTATGAGGGTGCGTAGTTCTTTTTTCCCCATGAAAACAACACAGAACAAAGCCTCACTTTTAAAAATGCCATGATATTTTGCCACCGTTATGAAAATCTGTCAGCGCCGTATCTAATCTTCTGGTGCATAGAATATCAAAACAAGCGCTATTGAAGGGATTGTACTTCTGTTAATACAAAAATGTCAGCTTCACAGTCTCAGAACCAGCTGCCAGCAGCCTCTTTCCAAATGGGAAGGAAAAAAATAATAAAGTTTCTCTCCCCCTCTGCTGTTACTATTCTTCAGGCCTGACCTTCATACGAAGACCCCGAGTCAGCGCCGCCTTGCTGAGATCTTGCGTTCGGAATACTCCAGTGGGATGGAGGCCGGCGTCGCCAAGGTCAAGAAGCAAAACAAACAGGAACGCCGGGCAGCCCATCCCCGCGGGCCATCCGCCGCCAGTGCGCAGCCCTGGCCAGCCGTGGGAGAAGCTGCAGGACACACGCCGTGAGATGGCCGAGTCCCGAGAGGCCGCCCGGCAGCCAGCTTTCCAGGAAGCGTTTCAAATCTCTCCCCACGGGACCGGGTCTCAGAATGAGTCCTGCAGGTCCTGGTGGCACAGGCTTGATGTCCTTTTCTTGTGAAAAATAGACAACCTTGCGAAGTCTCCAAGATTTAGAAGCCACCATCCAGTGGAACCCTGTTTGCAGGAGTCGGAGGTGTGGGTCTGCCTGGGACCAGCCACCAGACCCTGGCCTGCACACCTGCACTCAGGGCCGCTGTCCATCAGTGCCGACACTGGCCCACACCCAGGGGCCGTGTGTCCTAGAGATGTGTCGCTTCAGCCTGGGAGGGGTTTAATTCCTGCCGGGCGGCATCCTGGCATCTGCCAGACGTTTCCCAGCTCCCCTTCGGCCCAGCGACACGTGTGTCAGCGTGGACTCTGAAGTAGGACGTTAAGAACTGGAATTGAATTTGTACAAAAAGAAAACTTTTCACCATGTAATCGTTTCTGTGTGTTGCCTCTGGGCTGGGCCAGAAATGCCATTCTTCTGGCCGGGACCCTCTTGCTGCTGTTGCATGCAGGGCCCCCTTTCCTGTCCACAGGAGACGGCCCTCTCTCAGCCTGATTGATTTACTGGTGCCTTCTTATCATGTGCCTTTGAAGTCAGAAGTCCCCACAGCCCGGAGCTTTTCCTTGCTGTTGAGTCCCGCCTAGTCTTCAAGAAAGTCCAGGGTCTTTGTATTGTGACCCAGACCACAGCCACCCACCACCTCCATTGTTTCCTGGGAGGTTTGAAAGGGGACCCCTGGAGCACATTGATTTCCCAATAAATGTAAGATTGGGACTCTCCCAGGGTCCAAAAGAGAAAGGGTTGAAAGCCTCCGCCTGCTGCCTGGGCGCTGCTGCTGCCTGGGCGCTGCTCCTGCCCTCTGTTCGGCCCTGTCCTGGCATTTCCCTTCTCTGCCTTCCTGTTCCGCAGACCAGTGGTGAGGCCTGCGCCGGGCGGGGGTCTGCAGGGACCACGGTGGGTCAGCGTCTCGCCTGGGCTGGCTGGTGAGTGCTGGCTAGCACCCACTCCAGAGAGGACTTACCCCACAGAGTACCCACTCCAGAGAGAACTCCAGCCTGGGGAGTTGAGCCAGTGGTAAGCACTGATTCTCTACTGGAGGGGAGCGGGCCCTCCTCAGTGGGCTGGCTGGCACATGTGAGTTAACAGGGACCATTAGGGAATGTGTAATAATAATAGCAGGACATTTTTAAAGACCCTGCAGCACATGTCAGCCTGACTTTGGGCCAGTCTGCCACCTTGCTTTTATTTCTGTGTAATGGTTCACGTGATCTGGATGAGAAAAGAAGGGATCAAACTTTACAGATAAAACCCAGCTGTGTGAAAAACAGGATTAATGCCAGTGATTTGGGGTGATCAAAGAGAAACTGAACTTTCTTCCCCCAGTTCTCCTTCCACTAAAGTGTGAATTGGCAGTTTCTGCATTCCTGGGGGGAGTGCTGGAACCTCCAGAAGAGCTAGGGAGGAGGTCAGGGTTGAATTTGCCTTCACCTACTCACAGGGCTCCTTCCATGCTGCGTGGGCCTGGTTATGCAGAATCAGTATCTTACCCCAGTTAGTACAGAAGCACGGATTTAACGGGTTAGGGTATTATCTCAGTTTAAATAACCTTAAAGTCAGTCTTTCTTACGAGGGTTCTCAACAGATTATACATTTCACGCATCAGTTAGGCAGCTTTTGCCTGACTCCACTGTACATATTCGAATTTTGTGTGTATTTTTATCTTACCTCTTTTTCTAACTTCTCAAATTGGCCTCTGTCGAAAGCCTGGCTCTCATCCTTGGTCAGAGAATTGGATAGGATGCCGCTGCCGTAAGCTCTTTGCCCCGTTGGGTTCCTAAAGTACTTAGTCCTGGAGTCCAGGACTTCCCCAGTGATCACAGCCCTTAGCGGCTGCCCGTCTTCAGAAGCCCCCCCCCCAGCGTGCTAAAGAGCAAAGACCCTTGACCAGTAAGTAACCTGGCCCCCATGTGAAGTCTCCCCCTCGAACGTGGCTAGGAGCCATCCCAGTCTCAGTAGGGGACAGTTTGGACAAAGCCCACTGAGTTCCCTGGATTTCTTTCCTCCTGCAAGGAAAAGAGGTGAGGTTTAGGGAAGACAAGTGAATGAGCTTCTTAGGCAGGTGTGGCCTCCACTCCACGTGCAGCCAGTGGAAGATTAAAATCCAGCGCGGCTTCCCAGAGGCTGGAGAAGTTGCCCGTCTGGAAAGGGCGCTCACCGCTCTTGTTCTGTCACCTCCGTGGGCCGGGCAGAATGGGACCTGTGGGTGTGAGGGCAGCGGGGCACCCTGAGTCAGCCCAGATGCTCCGTTTCAGAAGCCTCACCGCGGAGGGCTGGAAGGGGCCTGAACTCCCTTTCATCTTGCGCCCACCCTGTTGCATCTCAGTTTACACGGGAGGGTGGGTGACAGGCTGGGGAAGATGCCCTTTCTGTGCCTGTGCTATTGTTTGGCCCGCTTGGGGTCTCTCATTCATTCCTTTTTTCTGTTTTAAATGAGAATTCACCCAGCACCCAGGTTGGGAACAGAGAAACCAATTTAGCCTTCTAAGTGGATGAAAGCAGAAGCCCACCTCACCGCAAAGGTGGGGAAGTTATTACATATGGGCTGTGCGGGACAATTTAAAATATTGTAATTAAAACTTGTAGAGAAGCCTTGTTCTTCATTAGTGTAGGATGTGAAGCCGCCTCTGAGGTACAAGGACAATTACACAGTGGAGGATGTGCCGTGGTTTACGCTGCACTGTGTAAATGTGAGGGTGGCTGCTCTCGTCTACCTCCTCCACTCTCACAAAATGAAAAGCACACCAGTGCAAGTTGTCCTTTGATAGATTTTTAATATGATTTTAAAGAGTTTTGTTTGGTCTCATTCTTATTCAATGAGATTAATTTAAAGCACTTATCCCCTGGGTTTAAGTCAATCCATGTAGGATTTGGGCTGGGTTTGTTGCATGGGGGGTTTTGTTTGCAGGAGGCTATGAGAGACTCCTTCCCCACTTCATTAACCCTGAGTTGGGGACAGTCCCTTGCCCCCCACCACAGCCGGAGCTGGGGATTTACCAGCCCCCATTCACATGCAAAAGAACTCGAAAGCCGAGGGGCTCCTGGACTTAATTAGCTGCTGTGCATTTTGCAAAATTAGAATAATGCCCTCGCTGTCCCCCACAGAAAAGCTGCTGTGTCGGGTGTTGGGGGTGGGGAGGAAACTGTAGCCGAGGCTGTGGGTCTGGTTTTCCCGAGGTTACAGTCTGAACTGCCCCCACCCTCCCGCCGCTGTGCTCTCCCTGAACGGTCCAGCCACAAAATGGGGTGGTGGAGCTCGGCTTACCAGGCCCAGACTTCCCACCCTGGTGCTTCCTCATCTTGGGGGGTCAGTGAGCTGCAGGTGGCCTGTGGGAGGGGAACACCTGCGTCCTCCCCAGGGAGGAGTGATCTCAGGAGGTGACCTTGGCCCTTTAAACGTGAACTGGAGGCCTGAGTCTGGCTCAGGACTTAAACCACTCCCCTGAGATCCTGGGGCCACAGGCAGCGGGTGGTGAGGGATAGGGCCTGGGGCAGGTGTTGGGGTCTGGCCCCGCTCTGGGTCTCATTTCCAATTTCTTAGGGTAAAGGGAGAATGAGACGATGGGAAGTACCCTGCGTGGCTTCAGGTTCGCTGGGGAGGCCCCCGGAGCTGCCTCACTGCCAGCCAGCGTCGGACCCTAAGCGCAGCCCTGCGCAGGGTGTAGAGGGGTAGATAGGGGGGCCGCAGCCTCGGAGTCCATCTGTCGGCCCCGCGCCCGCAGGCCGGTCACCAGCTGCCGGCGCCCATGTCTGGCCAGATGAGGCGGCTCAACAAGGGCTTCCCGGCCAGGCCTGAAGCCGAGGGAGGAGGGTGCTGACCCACACCCTCTCCCACCACTGACCCCCACCCCCAGCCCCTCGGATGTCTAGGAGCTGCAAAACCAGATGGGGAGGAAGGGGGAAGAGGGCTGAAGCAGCGCTGCTTGTAGAGATGGGAAGACTGAGGCCAGGGAGGGAGAGCCCCGACTGACCAGGGACAGTGGCGTTGGGGCAGACAGTCTCTGTGGTGTATGGAAGAGATGGGAGTGGGGGGAGGGGGGACTGATCGAGTAGGCTGGGGGCAGACCGACCAACGCGAGCGCGGACAGGCGCCTGGTCATTTATAAGAAGTTTATTTCGACATTTAAAAAAGGGAGAGAGAGCCCAAGAGGCTTGGCTGCCCTCAGGACCTGGGTGGAGGAAGGGGCTGCGGGGCAGGGTGTGTGGGCAAGCCCTCTCAGCCCCTTGCGCCCCTCCCGGAGAGAAGGGCACAGGCCACAGACTCACTGATTCACGGACACGGTCACGGGCTCATGGTCACGAATAAATAACTCCCTATACACTTTGCACGCGTATGTACAGCTCGCCGGCCCAGGGGCTCGAGCTGGAGGAGACGAGCAGGGCCCCACGCTCACCTCCCCACCCCTCTGGCAGGGTGGGGAGGGGCTTCTACAGCTGCAGCCTGAAACGGGAGTGAGGAGCGAGGCGTGGGGGTCACCCCACCTGCTCCTGGGGGAAAGGAGTCTAAGGGAGCCTGCAGAGACGGGGGCGGGTGGGGCACAAACGTCTATGTACATCCGCGGGTGGAAGTGACTCCTCCGAGGAGCAGCCGGGAGAGAGGGCGCGGAAGAGGGTCAAGGAGACTCAGTCCGGGGTCCGGGCCTCTGTGGACTTGGCATGTGGCCCTTCGAGGGACACTGGGCTGGAGCGCCGGGGACGGCCGGGCAGACCCCCAAGGGGCACTGAAGCCCGAGCCCTCCCAGAGGCGGGCGGGGGGCCCTCCGAGCGGGG